GTTTGTCCTTGACAAGGTTTCGTGGCGATTTTGTTTGCTGGCTGGTTACTGGGGGTGGGTGTTTGCCTTAGTTGCGTCCTTTTTCACGCGCTCGCCACGCCATAACGTTCACATTAACTCGTTACGCTTTGTGATTCGAACATCGGAAACAAAGCTGGGTTGTAGCGAAATACAAGTGCATTTGTATGTGTATTAATACAAACATACTTACATACATCTACATTTACTTATCTATTTCTATGTTGAAGATTCTTTAGCAGCTGTAGCTCATCAATTGCTTATATGAATTTGAACTCACATGGGTGTGAGTGGTTATATTATACATGTATGTATGTATGTATGTTCGGGTGTGCTTTTGTAAGCTTGCTTGTATTAGCGAAATTGAAAGCCCTAGCCTGCGGTTAAAAGATATAAAATTGTTACAAAAATTCCTGCTTGCGTGCCAAATAGTCGTACATTGCCATTACTCGTTTTCGCATGCGACGGTTCGCCAAGTAGCGTAAAAGCGTCGTTTTGCAATTTAGGTCCCTTTCAACAGCGATAGACATACATACATACATACCCGCATAAGCTTTCATCCTTTTTAGTTTAGTAATAAAATATTTTGTCTTTACCAATTGCTTATCGCAATTGATTTGTGTCCGGCGGTCATAGGGAAAGTACAATTTTGGTATTATATTTCAGCAGACATATGTACATATGTATTTACATACATTAGTGTGTATCTATATATGTAAGTATGTATATAAATGGCCATTTCTACGGGTAATAGTTAAGTTTAAGGCTTCTAACATTAAAACTGTCTTTCACAAGCTTTTATTAAGTTGCACCTGTGTGTAATTAAATTTTGTAATCAGTTATTAACCAACTTTCCGTTTAGCTTGAGACTTGATTCAGATTTAGCTCAGAACACGATGACGATGGTCCGATATAGTTGATATTTGAAATGAAAAATTTTGCGGTTAGTTGGTGCGGGATCGATTTTTATGCCTTTCACTAACCACCAATGGAAGCCTGTCTTACTTTTTTTTAACTAATTGTTTTTCTACGTTGATTTTGAGCTTCAGGCCGGTTATTAAATAAAACATAAATTGGAGTAGTTTTATTTATTACATTTATTTTTATCGATAATTCGCCTTCTATCTTCAGGAATTATTGTTTTTTTGCAATCGACTTGTTCGTCGATAAATCGCACTTTTTTTGCTGTTAAACTAAACAGATTGTGATAGCGTTAAACTCAACTACGCACTTTTTAACACCAAGAGGCATGCTAAGACTTCAACAACTCTAATCTGTACAGTTATAATAGAAACTGAATTATGATGATGACAAAACCGATAGCATAAATAGGAATGGAGAGAGTAATTAGAACTACATACGAAAATGGCTGCCATTGGTGAAGTGAAGAATATGGTACCTATAATAACAAAGGAAACGATAAAAATATCGGTAACAATAAAAATACCGTTAGCTATTATATATCGATAATGATAAAAATATCGGAATCGAAAACACAATAATAATGTCAATAATTATAGCGGTATAAATCATAATATCGGCAATTCTTAGATGAGACGCTCCTCTTTCTCTGCTAGTAACTACCAGCAAGTCGTTCTATTAGTCTTTTTATTTGCCTCGAATATCTGAAAAATTCATGTCTCAAATGGCACAGCAGTGCTAAATCCTGAAAAACGATCATTTATGTATTTTTTTTAAGCAGCATGAGCAAAATAAAAGACATATTCCCTTTATTGGTCTTGCATGGAGTCTTTTGAGTCAACTGGTGTGGTCCCATGAAGACACTTACTAGCCAAACACGTCGAAAGTCCTGCTGCAGCTGATAATTGACACTTCGTCAGGGTTTGTGTGGTAGGTACATTTATGGTCATTGTACATACATATTGTATAGACATATGGACATGTGTGCACATAGAAAGGTAAAAGTTATCACAACCGAAATGTTGTGAGGACATTGAAAATCACGTATACGCCGTGCAGTATGTGTGCCTTTATGTTTGGCTAGGAAATAATAAACATATAGTATATATACGCACTATGTGGATATACTATATGTAAATACATTTGGTAGCCTCATCAAAAAAAAGTTGCAGGTGTTCCACCGGAATTATAAAATTAACTATTTCTAAAGACCCCCGCCAAAATATTTCGGAGCTGAAAGAATTTTTTAAGTTTGTATGCAAACCTTTTAAACATACACTTTTCTATCACCTGAGATAATTTTTAGGAAAAATATTTTTCGAAACTAAATCTTTTTGTAAAAAACTCTATTTTCGGAGGTATTTTGAGGTATGTCTAACTCAGATTAATCTTGATATTTTTTTTTAAATATTTGGCTGGAAGTCTTAAAATATACTCAGTTTCCGATGGAAATTGATTTTTTTTTTGTATGAGGGGTGATACACCCTAACGTATACATATGCATATGCATGTATGTACTTAAGTTGTATTGTCACCCAGGGATTTGCGAGTATTTGAAATACGAAAATCGCTACAGATTTAATGACCTTTTCGTGGTCGGATTTTGGCCATTACTTCCACATATTTGTGAACTGTGGAATGTTTAAGTGGATTAATGGCCGAATCCTGATTGTAATGTTGATTACGTGCCGAAGTACATAAATTATATTTACTTTATCCATAAGTGGTGGAGGTAGGCAGCACCAAGTGGATCCTGTATTACTGAACCATTGAAGATCGACACAATCAAGTGCATTTCCGATATTTATATTAATTTGCGGTGTATATACTAAATACATATGTATACACATACATACATGTATATACATACATACATATGCACAGAATAAATTTGAGAAAGAGACAATTGCATTATGTAGGTTTATGGGTCTATAATATGTCTGTATCTATGCGTCCACTAACTAAAAACTTTTCCTTAAACTCCAAAATTACATGTGTTATACCAATTAGTCTATCACGAAACACAGAGAATCTATGTAAGCTAAATTAGGCTAGAAGTAATGGTAACAAACGAAAAAATATTAAAACTGACAAAAAGATACTTACGAAAATGACAAAGTGTCTGCTCGCATGCATGACCGATATTATGTTTCTAGTAATATGAAATACAAATTAGTGATGATGTTATCAAATATAATGAAATGTGGTGGGCAAAATGGCAGCAACAGCATTGATTAAACGCAATTAACCTAAAACGTTTTAGCAGGCCAGATGATAACACGTTGTATAAGGGGTTTGCAATTAAGGGCGCACCTCGATGGGGTGTTGACACAATTAAACCGTAAAAGTAAAATTGGAAATTGTTGTTGCGATGTGAAACATCGTTGGCTTTGAATGAATCCCAATACAAATTCGAAGAGAAAAACGAAATTATAGCATGTCGATGACGATATTATTAATCGATAACATCACCGATATAACATCGATACTTATATAACAATAAAGATGTTATAAAAAGCCTGCGAATTCGATGGCCATAGAAATATCGATATCTGTAGAGATATCGATAACCCTAAAATTACCAGTAACGATGGCTGGTAACATCTTATCTCCATGCGAACTAAATATTTTAAAATTTTACTTCTTAACTAAGTAGTCAAATCATTTCAGCCGGATTAGCCGAATTTCGAAGTATTTTCGTTCATAGCGTAATTTTATATGTATGTATTGAAGAGCCAAAGGCGTTGAACTTAAAACTTATTTACTATATTTGTATAATCTCACAAAGACATAAGACTCACAGAGAGAGAAACTCCGTCATCAGCAGACAAAAGGTGTCAGCTGGTCATTTCCCAGTCGAGAATTGGTAAGTTTAGAACACTGGCACAAAGTTGGGGATTTTATTGACAGATTCTCCGTTGCAAATTATGTCAAAAAGCTACAACTAACGGTAAGAGACAAAGACAAAGACAAAGACAAAGTCGAAGCCGTAGTCAAAGGCAACGAGAAAGACAAATATAACAAGTAAGAAAGTCTAAGTTCGGGCAGAGCCGAACATTAAATACCCGGCGCACGTATTAAATATATGTTTTTCACCTTACCGAAAGCTACGGCTACATGGTAAGCCGGGGCGTATCAATTTTGAGTAAATTAGAGTCCTTAGATTTCGAAATTTTGAAGTTTCAAGCAGTTCTGAAATTTACCGTTATATGAAAAGCGGCCTCAATTTTAGTCCGCTTTCAATAAATTTCAACGTTTTGCTTTTATGTGGCAAGCACAATAACCATACCGAGTTTGGTACAAATTGGTAGAACGGTTACCGATATACATATATGTGATCATAAGTGGGCGGTGCCACGCCCATTTTTCAAAATTTTACCATAAACGTATTTCTTGGTAAAGAATTGTTGCAAGCATCAATTTTGAATAAATTAGCTTTAATATTTACTGATTTATCGAAGATTTTGTATTTCTCTAAATTACCGTTATATGGGATGTGGGCGTGGTTATTGTCCGATTTTAAAACTTTTCGGCCATTTGGTATGCTGTGCGAAGGCCAACAACTATGCCAAGTTTGGAAGAAATTGGTGCAGCGGTTCCTAAGATATACACATGTAACCATAAGTGGGCGTGGCTACGCCCATTTTCCAAAAATGTATAATATTCTTATTTTTCGTCAAAAAGTTATTGTAAATATCAATTTTGAGTGAATTATCTTCAGTAGTTACTAAAATATCGCAGTTTTCGTATTTCTGGAAATTGCCGTTATATGGGAAGTGGGCGTGGTTACAGTCCGATTTCGCCCATTTTCAATACCAACCTACCTTGAATTAAGAGAAACCTACGTACCAAATTTCGTTGAGATATCTCAATTTTTGCTCGAGTTATCGTGTACACGGACGGACGGACAGACGGACAGACAGACATGGCTTAATCGATTTCTTTTTT